TCGGGAGGATTGGCCCCAAAGCGTTTGTAGTGTTAGGGGGGTGTTTAATAAATATGGGGAGCGTCACACCTCCGGGCTCCGGCTGCGACTTGCCGCGCGCTCTGCCGCATAGGCGTGGGAACCTCTCGCGTTTCAAACTCTGGGCTTAGAGTTTGGGGTTGTAGCAAAGACCCAGACTCCATCACCATGATTCTAAACGTGATCACGTCGTGGCCAGGAGCAGCAACAAGAGCAACACAGATTGCCTTGATCGTTCTGAATTTATATAACACATATAATGTACGTCGTGTGCGCAATAAACACACAGACCCCTACATTTTACATCCTGCAAAGCAAGATACCGGCAGGCTGACCGGATCCGAGAGGCTCTCAGGTCGTCTCGTGTCAAGGGCCGAAGAAACCAGACAACCCTGAAAGCTGGACAAACCAAAAACTGAAGAATGATAGCAACGCAGAGCATGACCATTAATTGAAGAAGGAACTGAACATGATCAACCCAAAATCCTAGACAATGCTAGATCATCCCCGGTGAGTTTCCGACGTATAGACAACCATTGAACCCACGAGCGAACGAGCCAACCGTCTATCCAGCTAAATGCAAACCCTGAAAGCCGTACCTAAACGCTGAACCTGAGCCGTAAACCCGCCCAATCGAAACCCTAAACCCTAAACCCAATTTTGAATGTACCCTGGTCAGCGAACTCCGTCGGCGCTCCTGCGCCGGAGCTGCCTGAGCGCGCACCGCTTCGCCTGTTCACACTCCGATTTAAGGCTTCAGCGGTTTAGGATGCATGGGGTCCTAATTCGTAGACCAAGGTTTTAAGGTATGTTATACTGTAACTATAATAATGCACCTCAAAACAGTATTGATCATTATTTAAGCCTCTTTAGCAAGTCTTGTGGTCTCGGAGGCAATGACGATTTCTAGGAAAGTAGGTTTCAAGCTAGGGATTCAGGCGTTGTGGTCATGAGGCCGGGTTGCCGACGGACACGTAATTGGATTCGCGCATAGTTCGAAGTGGATGTAAAGCTTCGGTGATGTGAACTTTGAGTTTGACGAAACTCTATAGTAATCGACGTACCAGAGCAGACCGAAGCTGAGAAACCCCCAGAAAGTAAATATCTGGTCACGATGTGGAACTACAAGTCAATGGTGCAAACGGCGTCGACCCTGTGGAATGCCTGTCATGCTTCTTAAGGTTTAAGTGACTCTGAACACTTACCAATTTTGTTCCTTAGGGTTCCTTGTTATGAACGTATCATCCTAGACCCCACAATTCTAATTGTTACGCCCCTATGTCTTAACTCTAAACCATATCCTAGTTGAAAGCAGCTTTGCCGGCTCAGCCACGTTTGCGAAGGTCGAACTCGAGCAGCTGCCGCCGACGCAGGGACCTCACCGCAGAGTACAACCAAAACTCCATCCGAAGCAACAACCCTGAACCCTACCGGACCTTAACGTTTGCATTTACATACCTCTAAACCTCAAACCCTAAACCTTACACCCTGAACACTAAACACCCCCCTAAACTAGACTTTACACTTTACACATGTACTTGCCAAACCATAGGGACTTCCCCATTCCTTGTTTTGTCCACCACCGGGAGGAACACCATGCTGTGTGACTGTTTTCGTCCAAAACGATCAAACACAAGAACACAACGGCGAGTCTTTTGGAAGCCTTTGCACTCTTTCCCGCAACCTGGTGCAAGATTCCATCGACACAACTGTGCTCTACAGATGCTGCGCGGATGCTCTATGGCTTGTCCGTATGTGCATCGCACGTGCCATGGAAAGTGTCATGGTTCCAAATAAAACTGTCCATGTCGCAAACGTGGCTGGAACTGTGCTTTCAACCGTTCTTGCGCGCGTCTCAATGCACTGCTATTGCTCTCAAATGTTTCGCAGCCAAATTGCTTATTCTTGTTCTTCGGAAACTGGTGGTGTCGCTGTGTCTGCGAGCAAACGATGTCGTAACACCAATCCCAGGGCGCAAACCTCGAATCCTACAGGCTTTGCGCCTGAACTCTAAAGCAGGTCTTCGTCAAAGCAACATTAGAACGTCAGCCCAACGAGTAACTAGCACAGTGACAGGCAAACCAACATGCATCTGCAACATGAGGGTTTAGGGAATGAAATTGTTTGCATGTTGCGAAACCTTCATTTCGCCAGGAATTCAACAGCGCTGCAGTCTTCACTCGCCTTGAAAGCGATCTGTTGTCGCCACCTCCGCGTATTGTGCGATGTCAAGCGACGATGGACACCCGCTTTCTCGAATTAAGATCTACAGCAAAGCACCGCAGAACATCGAAAGAACGACCCCTCACCGGAAGAATTCAGAGAGCATTCAGGCAAACCGAAACCCTAAGCCCCATGGGCGTGGAGCAAGCAAATCGCTTCGAACCGGAAAGCGGCCTGGTTCGCCTGTGGATCCTAAAGCGAGCATTATGGATGCTTAGGGCTTAGAGTCAGCGACACTGTTACAATGAGTGAGGGCTATGGAAAAGTAGTCGTGGATGTGAGTGCTGACACTTTTGGACATCTGTCAATCCCACAACGCAACAGGTGCTGCAGGGACCATCGTTCCTTCGTTGTGACCCTACACAGGTCGACGCGGTTGAGGGGACAAACAACCGGATATCTTAAGAACCTTGGGCCCCTTGGGGCGCAAAGTATGCGAAAATAGGGTTGTCAGTTAGTCAAAAAAGCGTCAGAGCACGGTATCTGGGCCCTACTCCTCGGGTACTTGGACCCCCTTGCCTTTGCTGAGCCTCGAAGCTGCAACAGTGACCTCTGAGTCTGAAGCCCTGACAGGATCACAGTTGCAATGGACCCGAAGCTTCAAGCATGGAACCCTGAAGTGCAACTCAAATCATGAAGCCCTCAATCTTCATCATCCCCTGAAGCCTGAACCCCTAAGCCCT